GGGCTGGAGGAGGAGGAGGAGGAGGAGGAGGAGGAGGAGGAGGAGGAGGAGGAGGAGGAGGAGGAAGAGGAGGGCGAGGGCGAGGTCGAGGACGAAGACGAGGATGGGGACGGGGACGAATGACGGCGGGAGGCGGGAGGCGAAGGGGGCCGCCCCGAGGGCCGGCGCCTCCACATCGGCCCCCTCTGCCCCCGAAGCGGGGGGCGTCGGCCGCGGGCCCCTCGCCAAGCATCCGGGCCGTCAAGGATACCAGGCCCAGGATGGAAAGCCTGTCCAAGCTGGCCCTCGCCGGGAGCCCTGCAGGGCTCCCCCACCGTGTTGGTACGGTAGGTTCGCGCCGTCTCGACCGGCGGCGACCCCACGGCCAGCGTTCAACGTTCAACGCCGCGGGCGACCCAGAGTCGGTCGATGTTGAACGATCCAACGTTTCGGAGACGGCCGATCGTTCAAGGTTGAACGATCCCCGCGGTGTCAGGAACCAACGCCAGGGTCGACACGACACGAACCTGCCGTAAGTGGTCTCGCCACCGCTGGGCATGCGGTTCACGGCAGCGAAGGCCCGCTTGCAGCGTGGCGGAGTGGACCGGCGGTGCGCCGGTATGCCGTTGGCAAAGCAGGAGGCTTGTCACCTGATGCCGTCACCTCATTATCACCATGAACCGTCGGCTCTTTCTTTTCTCATTGCTGATCTGCTGGCAAGCATACCTTGCAGCGGAGGAGGGGGTATTGCCCTGGGGGGAAGGTTCCAGGACTAACAAAACACCCCCGCGGCCCCGTTTTGTTTTCGGGTCCAGGAAGGAGCGGGGCCAGTGGATCCAGGGGGGTCGATGTTTGTTCCTCGAACTTGTCCCTCAGGGCCCACCCCCGAATCACCGCTTACAGAGGGCATCCTGACAAAGGAATCCATAATAGCGGGATTATTGCAAAGGCCTTACGGCTGGTGCCGCCGACCCTGAAGACGACGACGACGAAGACTGAGATAGATAGTGAGATAGATAGAGAGCCTCTTGCGGCTTCCTGTGGGGCCTGTTGGGGGCCTCTTGGGGTCGCTGGGACGCCTCTCGGGGGCCTTTTGGAGCCTCCTGGTGGGGGACGGAGCGCGATGCCGGAAAACTCTCGGAGACGTGGGGCCTCGTGGGAGCCCCTTGGGAGCTTCTTGGGGGCTGCTTGGGAGGCTCTTGTGCCTTCCTGGGGGCCTCTTGGGGGCTCCTTGGGGCCTTGAGTGCAGTTTTTGGGGCTCTCTTGGGGCCTCCTGGGAGTATCTCGGGGCCGAGGGCTGGACATGTCCAGTGGGTTTCCTCGTCAGGAAAGTCCTTGGAACCGTCTCGGGAGCGTCTGAGGCCGTCTCGGAGCCGTCTGGGGCCGTCTTCGGGCCCTTGTAGACAGTTTCGGGAGCCCCTTCGAGGCTTCTTGGGGCGGTCTTGGGGGCCTTTTGGGCCTCTTTGGAAATCGGGAAGCGGAGAAGGCGAGAATGCTGAAGTCTTTTATTAAGAAATATGCGAAAACTGCACCAGAGAAAGACCCCAATTAGTGGATGGTTTTCGCTGAGGAGATCGACCGGGAACCCAGGAGCCCGGGAACCCAGAACCCACTGAAATCGGCCTGGAACCAATAACCGGGAACCCGTGAACGCGGGAACCCGCAACCCGGGAATCCAGCCTGCTACCAAAATCGGCGGGAAATTTTCGCCAAATCTTTCAACTTCCGCTAGGACCCCTTCACTGCAAGCACTGATTGAGGAATGAATGCGCTGTTGATCTTGGGGCTCTGTTGGGAGGGCTCCTCCACGTCTCTTGGGGAGTCCTTAAAGTCTTCTAGGACCGTCTTGAGGCTGTCAAAACGTCTTGGACCGATCGTTCGGCGATTCGGGGTCCTCTTGGAAGGTCTTGGGCGCCTCTGGGGGCACTCTTGGCTCGTCTGCGGACTTTCTTGAGGCCGGCCCCCGCTCTCGGAGGGGATGGTATTCTACCCAGAACCCCCCTGCGACCGGCCCGGGACCCCCCCCGGACCACTGCTCGGGACCCCCCCCCTTGGCGGGGAAGGGATGAAAAGGAAGGGGCTTCCTTTGGAATCAATGACGACGTTGTTGACTGGCGCGCCAGAGGAGGAGTGCCGAGAAAAGGGGGGGAAAGAGCGACAACGACGACGACGACGGAGACGGCGACGATGACGACGACTCAAACAGAACAGCGTCAACAGCCTCTTCGGGAAAGGAGGGAAAGCGGCGACGACAACGAGGATGGCATCTTCCACACGCCGACGGGGTCGGCGGATTTCCGCGGTATCTGCACGAAAGGAACACGTAGTGGAGAAATATGTTTTGAAGGCGCCTTTGTTGAAACATGGTTACAAAGGGCACCTTTTGCCAAAGAGTCCTGACCAAAGGCATTCTTACGAAGGAATCTTTTGTTATAATCGGAAACGGTACGCGTGTTGAGGACCACTTACCAAAAGGATTCGTAGTAAGGCCGCGTCATCTAAAGGTCTATTGCACCGGATTCCTTGCAACTTGGGTTCTTGATGCGGGCTCCTCAATTAATGGGTCCTTCCGAAGGATCCCATCTCTAAAGGCATCGCTAGGGGACATTTTTCACAGGATACATGCTAAGGACTCCATCCTAACATACAAAAATCACATCCTTGCTGGCGAGTCCATTTACCCAGCGCGTCCTCACTAAATAATCCGTGCCCGAAGCATCCTCATTAAGAACTCATTGTTGAAAGGGTCCTTGCTGAATGGAAAAGGTTCATTGCTACGGACTCCGTACTGAAGGCATCCTTGCCGAGGATTGTTTACAAGAGGCATCCCCTTTAGTGAGGACTCCGTACGAAACGAGTTTTTTTGAAATGGATTCCTAACTAAAGGGTCTTTATTGCTTAGGGTTCATTCGGGGGATCCTTATGGAGAGCCCCTTGGCACAAGAATCCTGAACAATATCCTTCTTGCTAAAAGGTGTCCTTGTTGAAGAATCTGCATGAAAAAGGAACCATGCAGGGCAATCCTGCTTACGGGGCTCCTTACGGAGGGGATATCTATTATCAGCATCCTCGCAAAAAAGGGTTCCTCACTAGAAGGATCTGGACAACGACCCCGTAACAGAGACATCCTGGACACACATTCTTTACTTAATGGACCCTTACCCGAGACCCCTCACCACATGAACCTTTACTGCGGATCTCATACCGATACAAAAAAGCATCACAACTAAGGAATCCTAAGTAAAAAAGGGATCATGTCTAAAGAAAACGCGTCCAATGACTCTTTACTGAAGGACGCCTCACAGACGACCCCGTACGTACAGCATTATTGTTATCGTACTGAAGGCATCTTCGATATGAAACCCGTATCAAAAGGCGCCCGTGCAAAAGGGACATTCGTTTTATCGGGGTCCTTACCAAGGACTGTGTACTACATGGGGCCCTTACGTACAGAGGGAATCCTTATTATAGACATCTTTGCACAACATAATCCTTCGAAGTGGGTCGTTATTCCGCGTTGCTGTCTGGAGGAACCCGTAGGACGAATTCCATAGTCCAGGCATTCTTACGAAGGAGTCTTTACGAAAGGAATTCTGAATTCAGAAAAAAGAATTACTGAGGACTCCTGACCAAAGGACCCCTTATTCAGGATCCCTTGTAAAAAAAAACACCCTTGCAGAAGGAGGCCGTCTTAAAGGCATCCTTGACAAGGAATCCGTATTTCAGACGTCTTCATCCTTATTGAAGGGGTCCTTACTAAGGATTGCTTCTTACAGGATCCTTAAACTGGGCATCCTTACCAAGCGCACCCTTACTAAGGATCCCTTGTTGAAGGTACATTACTACGGACCCCTTGACAAAGGCGTCCTTCCTAGAAGCTTCTGGTCAAAGGCGTCCTTACTAGAAGCTCCGAGTGAAAGTAGCGACGCGTCAGGCCAGATTACGCCCGTATCCGAGAACCCGAGAAAGCAAGCATCATCTGTGCCATTATTGTCTTTCTCACCGAGAGAAGAAAGCGCATATCTGTATTACCTCAATACGCGAGGGGCCGCTATGTCCCCCCACCCGCTTGCAGCACACTTGCCCTCCAGCTTGCACTTCCAGCCGGGTTCCAGCTTCGCCCCCATGAATCGCTTGAGCTTCAAGCGTCGCGTCACTGCCGCCGATCCGCACATCGTTGCGGCCGCTGCCTTGCCCTCTGGCTCCTCCCTCCATGAACCAGCCCGTTGCACCCCAGCGTGTCCAACACCCCGTCCGGCCCACGCAATCCTTCACCGTGGAGCACAACGCAGCATGGATTTTTCCCAGGCGCAGGGCACGGCGCCTTTTTATGGAAACGGCCGTGGCAACATTTTGGCCCAAGTTGGGAGGTATCTCACTTGAGCCAAACTGGCCACGAGGGAAGAGGATTGGGGGTAGGAGTAGGAGCAACGATGTGCTGGCATCCTCTGGGTGGCCCTCGTCGCCACGGCTTGATTCTTGTCCGAGCGCGCTCCGGGAGAGGTTCTGGGGCCAAAGGTGAGGGTGAAGAGGGGGGGGGGAGATTGGAGACCTGTAAGGAAACACTGGACGGTAGGGGTGTGAGATTGGAGCCAGCAGGAAGGGGTACGAACGAGCGCGGGTGTGCTGGGCAGCTGGTTGATGGGAGGGTGCAAATGCGGTCAAGACTGAATTCCAGTGTGATGGTGGTAGTCGTGACGGTTATAGTCATGGTGGTGGTGGTGCGGTAGTGGTGGCGATGTTCCTCGCCTTTCTTCTTCTCGTCTAGTAGCCTTCCTCCTCTTTATCCCCCTCCGAAGCCATTATGGCTGAGTAGCCCACACGCCACTGTGGATGGGCCTCCCCGCGCATGTCGGGACAGAGCCTCAACGAAGCACTGCTAGCTCTTATCTTAGCGAACCCAGGTCCATATTTCTGACTAGCTCCAGAGCCCACGGTCAAGTCGCCACATCTTCAGTCGTGGTGGAGGCGGTTGATTGGTTTAGAATCGCGGCAAGGGCAGCAGCAAACGAGTGGAAGGTATGTTCAGTACAGGACCCGCTGCTGGACAGGGCTTGCGAGATGCCCAGCAGCCTGAGAAGCCCCCGAAGCGGCCACGTTTTGGGGAGCCTCAGAAGTTCCTCCCTGTGGCTTTCGCGGCGAGCACGATCGCTGGTCTCTATTTGACCTACATGTCTCATCACATTGCGCCACTGTTGTTGACAGGGGACCCTGGCGCACAGTACGGCATGCAGGCCGAGGAAGATCTTCTCGCCAGACGCCGGGGGCGGTGGCAGTGCCTCTGGTTCCACGTCCTCACGGCTCTCCTCGTGGCCTGCTACGTGCGGAGCGTCCTGGTCCACCCTGGCGAGATCCCCGACAACGACTCGCAGTGGGAGTACGGGCAGGACGGCCGCTCGGGCTTCGACTTCTCGCAGGTCACCCAGGAGGTGAAGAAGACGGGCGAGCGGCGGCACTGCAAGTGGTGCGGCAAGTACAAGCCGGACAGGTGCCACCACTGCCGGGTCTGCAAGACGTGCATCCTCAAGATGGACCACCACTGCCCGTGGATCTACAACTGCGTCGGGATGAAGAACTACAAGCATTTTTTCTTGCTGCTCTTGTACACGGTGCTGGACACCCAGCTAATCCTGTGGACGATGGCCGAATCTGTCAAGAGGTGCATCGATGAGCCCAGCACGCCATTTGTAACAATGTTCACGACTTTCTTCGGATGGACCCTGAACCTTTTCCTGACAGTTTTGCTCACAGCTTTCTTCGGCTTCCACATCTGGCTGATGCTGAAGGCCATGACCACCATAGAGTTCTGCGAAAAGTCTGGCGCCAAGGACAGCAACCGCAGATACGCCTCCTCCGTGTACGACCTGGGGCTATCTGGCAACGTGCGCGCAGTGCTGGGCGACAACGTGCTCCTGTGGCTCCTTCCCTGCGGCGGGAAGCAGGGGGACGGGCTCCACTTTGTGTCCGACGAGAGCCGCCTGAGCAGGGACATTGCGACTGGCAAGGGCATCCGCCGCAAGGGCCACCAGACGGCACAGCGCGCACAGCGGCAGGACGAGGCCTGCCGGCGCGCAGAAGGGGGCCCAGGTTGGGCGCGAATTCATGGGGCGCCGTAAATGGGGGGAAAGAAGGTGCCCTTTTGGGGCCTTCAGGCCCCCTGGGGCCTGAAGGGGCTCCTTTGGGGGCCCCACTGGGTTTCTTTTCTGCAGCCCTCGCTGTCCCCCAATTTGTCGCCCCCCATCAGTTCGCGCCCAGCCAGGGCAAGGGGGGGGGCTTCAAGCCCAAGCTCCCCAGAAGGCCCCGTCGCCGTCGTAGAACTCCGACGTTGGGACTTTTGAGGTCTATCCCCACAGGTCTGGACCCCTTCCCCACGACCGGTTTTTCATTTCGGGCCGATTTCTGACGGTGGCAAGGCCCAGCTAGGGCCTCAAGTCGTGGCTTCAGAAGTCGACACCAGCACCAAGCTCCCGTGGCTCGAGCAAGAAAGTTTCATCATGAAGGGATGCCGATTTTCTGCCCTACCATCCAGAGGCCGAACACTGCTAGAAACCGCCCGTTGCGATTTTCACGACGAAGCGAGGTTGAGTCTCCAGGAAACTGTTTTCACCCCCGGCGATAACGGGCGTGACCGTGGGGGGGTGGGGATGGGGCCAGTCACGTCACGATTCGCGCCGGCGCTTTCTGGGCCATTCTCGAGACACCGACGCCACGGATCAACCTGACTGTAGCGTCTTGACGATCCTGAATCGTGCCAGAACACCATTCCTGGCACTTCAACACCGCGAATCATCGTGACTATTGCGCCCTCACACTCTTGAGTCCTTCCGAAGCGCAATTTCTGGTACGCTGACACTGGGATTTCGTGAAACTCTGGTATTTTTCAAGACTTGTGCGCGGCGCTAAGGCGAGAGCCACGTTTTGAAAACAAGCCGCCCTCAATCCGTGACTCTCTCGCAGTGTTTTAAGGCGAACGGTCGTGGCGCTAAGGCGAGAGCACATTTTGAGAACCTTCCGCCCTCAATCCGTAAAGCTCTTGCACAGTTTAAGACAAATTTGCGCTGCGCTCAGGCGAGAGCCACATTTTGAAAACCGCCCGTCTTCAATCAGTGAAGCTCTTGTAATCTTTGAAAGACGAATGTGCGCGGCGCTAAGGCGAGAGCCACATTTTGAAAACGAACTGGCCTCAATCCGTAAAGCTTTGGATTTTGCAAGACGACTGTGCGCGGCGCTAAGGCGAGAGCCATATTAAACAAGTACGGCCCTCAATCCGTGAAGCTTTCACATTTTCAGGACGAATGTTCGCGGTGCTAAGGCGAGGGCCACATTTTGAAAACTGCCCGCCCTCAATCCGTGAGGCTCCTTCACGTTTAAAAGACGAGTGTACGCGGCGCTCAGGAGAGAGGCACATTTTGGAAGCGATCCGCCCTCCATTTGTGAAAATGTTGTCGTTTTTAGCGTCAGGGTCATTAATGGTGTGGAAGTCTCAGGCGAAACGCCCGGCCCGCCCTTTCGACCGGCTTCGGGGTGCGACAGGCAGGAGTAAATTATAAGGAAAAAGAATGGAGGATCAGGGGGAGGAGGAGCAGGAGGAGGAGGAGGAGGAGGAGGAGGAGGAGGAGGAGGAGGAGGAGGAGGAGGAGGAGAAAAATGAACTCCAGGACCCCCCCCGCGGGCAGCCGTGCAGGAGGCGGCCAGCCCCCTGCCGAGAAGGCCCTCTCTGGAGGCCGCCGCCCTCTTTGTGCCCCGCTTGCGGCCACCGCGCTCTCGGCCATCCGTGCCAGAGCAGCCCTCCGAGGTCCCCTCCGCGGAGCGCCCACGCAGGCCCGCCGGGAGGCCCCTCCGAGGCCCCCTCGCTCGACGCCGACACCGACGCACACGCCGACGCCGACGCCGACGACGCCGACGCCGACACCGACGCACACGCCGACGCCGACGTCGACGCCGACGACGATGACGGTGGCGGCGACGACACCAACGCCGACGACGCCGACGCCGACGCCGACGACGGCGACGACGAGGACTACGACGACGGCGACGGCGACGAGAGGGTTGCCGCCTCCCCCCGCCCCCCCCCCCTCCTGTGGTGCACCGTCGCTCGCCGAGAGCTTGTGGGACTGCTTCCTGATCTCCTCCCCTCGACCACCTCCTCCTCCTCCTCCTCCTCCTCCTCCTCCTCCTCCTCCTCCTCCAGCTCCCTCCTCCTCGCTCCTCCCTCCTCCTCGCTCCTCCCTCCTCCTCGCTCCTCCCTCGTCCTCGCTCCCGAGGAGGCTTCCCTTTCTGATCTCCTCCTTGAACTTCTCTGGGCAAGTGCTGTTCCAACCTACTCCCTAGTCTTCACCGCCAGAAAGAAGTTCGAGAAGTTCGAGAACCAAGAGCGTACCGAAACTGAGGGGTTTTCACGCGTCGGGCCCTGGGAGGTGATACTCGTTCGACAGGGTGCCGGGCAGACACGGTTTCGATGCTTCTCTTGGTGCTCGAAATGGTTTCTAGGATGCAGTCCTTAAGCAGGACTGGGCATTAGGATTGGAACTGCATAACGCTGGGCCCATACTGTGGCGCACGAGTGGGCCCGGCGACTGGGACTCGGCTGCCCTGGCCCATCGGGCAGCGAGGTGCCCACCCGTTGCCCGGGGGAGCCGGCGCAGGAGCGATGGCAGCGGCACGCCGCCGTGGTGAGTGAGCTCATCAGCGCGTCGCGGGCTTCTCGTCGGACATCGTTGTGCTCGGCTACACGTGAGGGGTGCTTTTCGCCAGAGTTCGACCACGCGCAGAGGGTGGTACGGGGGAGGGGGGGAGGGGGGGAGGCTTCTTGGGAGGAGGCTGCTTCCTAGAAGGCGTGGGCCTTGTCTGTAGATGTAAGGTAAGGCTGGCGCCTTCGAAGAAGCAGCCTCCTTCTAAGAAGCCTTCCCCCCCCCTCCTCTGCGCGCCGCCAAAGAGTGGATCCTGGTGCGGGTACACTGGGGTCTGCAGATGACTGAACGCAATGCGATGGCAGCGTCTTGCGCGCTCGGGTTTGGCCTCCCCGCGGCATCCGCAAGTAGCGCACCAGAGGTCACTCTCGCCTAGGGTCCCTCTTGCGTGTAGCCGTGGCCGAGGGGCCTCAGGGTCCACTTCGATCCGATCGATCTGCTTCGATGTCGACTCTGGCCTGCCCGATCCGATGTCGATTGCGATGCTCCGACCATCGATGAGGCGCGACGCTTGCGTGGCGCTGTTGAGCATCCTGGCGCAGCCGGTTCACCGGTTCGATGCTGACAGACCCTGCCCTCTTGGGCATCGTCGGGCCATCTCGGGGGCTGTCGTGGCCACGCTCACCCCCAGCGCCCCGGGAGGCCCCGCCTGGAGGCACTCCGACACCCCTTCGCGTAGCGACAAAGCACAGCGTCTGTTTTCATGGGTTTGTTTGTGTCGTGCTGGTGTCTCGTCTGTTCTCTTGGGGCTGCTTGTTTTGGGCATGTCGATGCTTTGCTCAATTGTTGGGCTGCTGTTTTGGCTTCCCCCTGGGGCTCTGGGTGCTCTCGCCGTGCCCCAGGACGGTCCACAAATGTCAGGAGGGGAAAACACACAGATATAATTTTTCGTCGATTCCCCAGACAAAATATGGGAAAATTGGGGAATCCTGTGATTTGTGTCTATTTATTTGTGTGTCCCAGGGCCCCTTCAAAATGACTCAGGATGAAAAGCCGGTCTCCTAGGTCCCCCCCAGGGGCGCGAGGATAATCGCGCTTCGTGCATCGCGGCTTGGGTTTCAGAGCTGTCATTCTCCAGGGCGACCTCGCGGGGGAGCGAAGATAACCGCGCGTCGCGCATCGCGGGGCGCGATGCGCAAAGATAGGTGACTCAGGGTCCCAAGTGGGGTGGGATGGTGGGGCTGAGATATCATGGCCCGGTGGGGATAGGGATAGGTTTTAGCATACTGATGCTTGGCCCCGCCCGTTGGCCGCGCACGAGAGGTCAATGGGGTCTCCCATGCCCCCGACGTCGTGTTTTTTCACAACGCGGGCTCCCAGAGGTCCCAACCCATTCCCCGGGGGATCGGCCCCTCGAAGCCCGAAGGGAACAGCCGATGTCCCCCATCTAGGGGGGCAAATCGGCCAGTGTGGCCCAGGACACGCCGGTGGGGATAGGGATCGGTTCAACTTTTCTCAGAGCACGAGCTCTTTTTGTCAGCGGCCGCGTAGGCACGAAGCGTCGAGCAGCACCAGCCAGGACGCGGCATAGCCGACTGCGCGCCGAAGCCAGGCCGAGCCCCGGCACTCAGGCCGCCACCTGGCTGCACCGCGCGCAGCGACTTGGCGTCGCTCGGACGTGTGCATTTTTGCCCCGGAGAGGACCATCGAGGAGCACCAAGGAACATCGTGCACGAGGAAGGGACGTCCGAGCGATGGCAAGGCGATCGGCGAGCCCGCGCATCCGAAGGCATCCGAAGGCCACTCTGTCCCTCTCTCCCTGAGGTTCGCCCTCTTGCGTACAACCAGCCCCGGGGCCTCGCGTGATGTTTCCGACAGCCTCCTCGGGCTCCTCGGGCCTGCCCCGCGGCTCCCAAGACTGGACCCCCGGGGCTCCTCGGGCCTGCCCCGCGGAACTGCCCCGAGGTCCGACGTCGCGAGCAAAAGAGTACAACACGGTGACCTGGCGTCGTTCGGACGTGTGCATTTCTCCTCGGCGAGGACCCTCGAGGAGCGTCTGAGAGCATCGAGGCACCCAGAAAATACGCACGGAGCCGCAGCATGCACGGGGAATGGACGTCCGAGCGACGGCAGGGTGATGAAGCATGACCAGAGGGCCGCAGCTTTCTGCGGCACCCGTCGAGCCGCACCGATCTGTGAGGGCCCCGGCGCCCAGAAGGGGGGGCCTTACACGATGCGAACAATTAGGGCGGAATTTTCCACCTCGACAAAGTCGAGCGGATGTTTCCGCAGAAGTCTGGCGGAAACAGCGACGGCAACGCTGGTCGGAAAACATCGACATCCGAGGAGGTCGAAACGCAGGGCGGAACCTTCCGCCTTCTGCGGACGGAGTCGCCCGAAGCACGGCGGCTCCAAGGAGTCGGAGCGCTCGGCCACCCCCCCCCCCCCCTTCCCCCGCGCGCCGCCGCCGAGGGTGGCGGCTCCCACTACTTCTACGGGGGCGGCTCGCCGTACGGCAGCCCCCAGGCGCCGCACTGAGCCGCCGCCAGGGGCGCGGCGGGGTGCGCGCTGCCCGTGCCCTCTCCGGGCGGTGCCCGGCTCGCGCCTCCGGGCGGCGACCTGCCCGTGGCCGCGGGCGTCGGGCGAGGCCAGGCGTTCCAGAAAGGGCTCCTCGGGGGGGAGGAGGAGGAGGAGGAGGAGGAGGAGGAGGAGGAGGAGGAGGAGGAGGAGGAGGAGGAGGAGGAGGAGGAGGAGGAGGAGGAGGAGGAGTGTAAACCCAAGAGTCATCAATGACGTTGGAAATAACCCTGCCTCCAAGCTCCCTCTTCATAAGCCCCTACAGCGGTTCATTTCCATTGAGGGAACTGCTACGTTGGAAGACAACCGTTTGAAGACCTTGAAGCATGCCAAAACATTGTTGTCGGGACTTCCACGCCACTCATCAACCTGACTGCTGCGTCCTGATGATCTGGAATCGTGCCAGAACGCCGCACTCGGGATGTCAACACCGCGAAGCAACAGAACTGTTGCACCCGCATAATCCAGAATCCTTCCAAAATGCCATTTCTGGTCGCTGATCACGGGAATCCGTGAAACTCTCGCAAATTAAAAAACGAATTCGCGCTGCGCATAGGCGAGAGCCACATTTGACAAGGAGCCGCCCTCAATCCGTGAAACACTTGCGTTTTTTCAAACGACTGTGCGCGGCGCTAGGGCGAGAGCCACATTTTAAGATTACCCTGGCGACGTACCCAACCCTTGCGCAATGCGGGGCATAAGTACATCATGATTGCTACAACGGGGGCGATGACGTAACATGGACGCATGTGATTTTGCGAGCAGCAATCGGAAGGCTCGCAGGCCCCCGATCAATCTATAAGGGCGTCGTAGTGGTTACTAACGCGCCCCCCTCAGGGACGACGGGGTCTCGCTCAGGTCCTCGCGGTGCCTCACTCCGCTGGACCCAACAGCAGCCCTCGAAATTGGCGACAGTGTCGCAGGTCGCAGTCCCCCAGGGACGGCGAGGTCTCGCTCAGATCCCCGCGGTGCCTCAGTCCGCAGGACCCACCAGCAGCCTTCGAAAGTGTCGACAATGTCGCAGATCGCAGCCCTCCAAGGACGGCGAGGTCTCGTTCAGATCCGCGCGGTGCCTCAGTCCGCGGGACCCGCCAGCAGCCTTCGAAAGTGGCGACAGTGTCGCAGATCGCAGCCCCCAGGGACGGCGAGGTCTCGCTCAGATCCCTGCGGTGCTTCAGTCCGCGGGACCCACCAGCAGACCTCGAAAGTGGCGGCAGTGTCGCAGATCGCAGCCCCCCAGGGACGGCGAGGTCTCGCTCAGATCCCCACGGTGCCTCCCCCCAGGGACGGCGGGGTCTCGCTCGGATCCCCGCC